GGATATCGAGTATAGCTGAAAAGATTGAATACGTATTGATTAAGAGATTAGAAATTCAGAAGTCTACATCCAGAGCAACCAAAATTTATCTGACCCCGACGGAATGTCTAATCTCCTACTACCCTAATATCCTAAAATCGTAATCTACAATCTCAGCGATTTCAATCAATATACATTCAATCTTTCAAGCGGAATAGGTGCTAACTTAGTTGGGGGGACCACGCGGCGGCGCGGCAGTCTGCTCGCCTGGCATTTGCGTTTCGGAAATCCGTGAGCCAGGGGGAGTGTAGGCAGTCTAGGGGGGGGGGGTGAGGGCAGTCACTTGACATGCGTGAAAAGCTGGAATGTTCGAGTTTACACTATCTCGCTCGAGAGAGCGCCAGGCGAGCAAAGCTGCCGCGCCGCCGCGTGGTCCCCCCAACTAATTGTAAGTTAGCACCGCGGAATATTCTAATCTACTACTATCCTAATCCACTGATCCCCTAACCTCCCTATGAATCCAATTTGTTCATTATCGCTTAATCTCCTAATCTCCGGAGTCGCGAAGTATGAATGCTAAGGAATGGCGAGCTGACAGGCGATATAGGCGTAGGAAGGAGAGCTGATGGTGAATGTGCAAACGTGACAGCTAGTGATAACAGCTAAAAGATTGCAACATAAGTCGGTACTATTCAATTATTACACCCCCAATATCTCAAAACTTTATTTTGCTTCGGAAGTGTGTTTGTTCATAGTGGCAATTTATGTCCTGATCACGGGAGCAAAAACAAAAACTCCCGATTAGACCGCGATCAACGTAGCCATAAGCCTTTGCTAGAGGAGGGCTCAGGGGTGAGTACGCCACTCATCCTGAGATCTCACATACTTCATCTTTTGGCTTATGATGCGTAATTCACCCATGTTGATCAGTTTGTAAAGAGCAACAAATGGGCGCTCACCCGCCCTGGAGTTCCTCCCTTCTCCAAGGCTTAGTCCTAGGGCTCTGGCGCTAAATGGCGCCAATGTCAAAAGTGAGTGTCTATTCGTGAGTATGGCATAGAATGCATCTACAAGCAGATTCGACAAAAAATAAAACGAGGTGTTAGGGTTGTAATAGTTGAACAGTGCCCATAAGTCTTATAATATCATTCACAGCTTCTCCCACCGAAAAGGAACGATGGATTGGACGAGTCCGGCTTTCACACAAGAGATAAAATCTACTGCAGTGTATCGACGGAGAACAACAAATGAATGAAATATCAGAATGAATGTGGAAGTGTTATTAAACCTTCTTGGCTCTGTCCACCAAAATGATGGCAGCAAATCAGTGATTCAATAATTTTCAGACCTCCTAACAGACCAGAAAGTAGATCAAGTATTTCGGTACAAAGAAGACTTATAACAAAAATTGTAATAAATCACAACCAAAAAATGACAGTTCACCTTGCCCACGATTTTGAACAGCAGATTTTGGCGCCCTGCGACAGGAGCGCACACGCTTGCTTAATTTCTCTACATCTAGAAAGTCACAAAGTAATGAATATTCGAAATCTCATCACGACCTTGAAAGCTGTTATTCGAAGAAAAACTCAAGAAAATCGAGTTTTCTCGAATGTTTGCTCACTTATGAAAGCATTTCGATGGTGAAATTCAGGAGCGAAATGAATCCTTAGTGAAAAATGAACCCTAGCAAGATGTAATTTATGTACCTCGAATGGGATTTTAGCACTGTCGCCAGCAGGTGCATAGTAGAAGATCACTTAATTCTCTTCTAACATTCAGATATGGTTACAATTTTAATAAGAATACAATACAATTAACTTTACCTTGAGACCTGCTAATGTTCTCAACTGAGTCGAGTTCTTCAGAGCGGTGTTATGTTTCGAGAAATTGTTCCTGAAGTAGGATGTGAATTTTTTAGCCTTCCTGGTGGTCTAGACTTCGTAGAAGGACTTAATGACTCCCCTTCCCAATACATTTCTCCATCTCGTTGGCATTCCATTAAGTGCGATCTTCTAACTTTTCCCTCTTCAACTTTCAGCATGTTTCTTTATATCAAACTGTGCATGACCTCCTGCTTCATATAGTCGGTAAATATGTTAACAAAATAAATTTAATTGGAAAAACATAAAGTTCAGAAGTCAGGACTTTCTAAAACGACCCCATATCGAGGGCGAGTAACAGGAATGTCCCCTGCGAAAAATCGATACTGTCTTTTGTTGTGTCGTGTTTGTTGACTTTCGATGTTCTTTGATTGAAGTCTTGGAGCAGGGTCAACCCTACGTTGTTACGAGTAACAACGGGGGGTACTCAGTTGAGCTTGGAGGGGGGGGGGTCGTACCCTCTCGGTGGCCGACAGTGGGATTCTTGGTAATATCGGATAATAGCCAGCACGTTACGTTTTCGTAAGATGACTGATACTAGAGCATCTATAAACCACGATTCCCTCTAAATGAGCTTTCAAATGAATCAGCGAATTAGAAGGGCGCCCGAGGCGTGGCGCGCACCAAGGCAAGGGATGTAGTGCAAGCGCATGCTCGAAGCTTTCTAGCACATCCTAAGTTAAACATGACATTGGTCTTCCAAGAAGTTACGGGCAGTGAAACCTAAGAAAACCCGCGTTTTCGGGAAAATGGCTTGAAGAATACCCCTCAAAAAAAGTAACAACGGGACTAATTTTTGAACTGCTGACTTTTCAGGAACGTTTGGTGCTCGTTAGAAAGCTTGAATCCTGTAGTTTGTCATACCGTGTTCAGCTTCCCAAATGAATGACTTTGAAAGGAAGTTATGATCGTTTGAAGGTAAAAAAGTCGCGGTTCCAAAAAAATAGTAACGCAAACCCCCAAAAAAGTAACAACGGGACTAATTTTTGAACTACTGATCTTTCAGGAACGCTTGGGTGCTCGTTAGAAAGCTTGAATCCTGTAGTTTATTATACGTGTTCAGCTTCCCAAATGAATGACTTTGAAGGAAGTTATGATCGTTTGAAGGTCAAAAAGTCGCTTTGCACAGAAAAAAGTAACAACGTACTAAATTTTTATTAAATTAACTTTCGAAGAATTTTTACCCATGGTTGGAGAGAGAATAATTTGAATTTTCCAAATCAAATCACTTCGGCGCAGAAGCTCGAATATGAAGGAAGTTATAGCCTTAGAAAGAGGGGTGTAAAAATTGTGTTGCAATTGAAGAACGTGAAGGATTTCAGTATTTCAATTGGAGCGATAATTTTTTCTGACTTCTCATAAGTTTTTATCAGGTAATATTGTCAATATTCCGGTCACTGGTTCAGTTTATTTCATCTCCTAGTTTGGTAACCCTTTGGAGTACACGGATATCTTTG